ACATTTCTGGCCTTTCCCTGAAGAGGAAATCTAGTCTTTGAACATTAGAACAAAATCTCAACGATAAATGGAATTTATTATTGTACATGATTTCCAGCAGTGCCAAGTTCAGTGGACCTTTTAGTAAATCAGCTGATACTGTATAATTAACAACATGTAGTGCTCTGAAATCATGCCTGTGTTATCCTCTTGAAAAGATTATTTTTACTGCTCTTTTGGAAGCTAACCCAACAAAAATTACCATACAAGTTGTTGTTGTTGTTTTCATTTGTTTCGTGGTTTTGTTTGTTTTCTTCTGTCTCAGCTCAGAAAGTCATTTGCTTTATTACTCTGGGACTGCAGAAAGAATATTTCATACCTACTTTACAGATTTTTGTGAATATTGGAAAGACGGTATGTAAGGAATCCAGTTGTGGCTGCCATGTGATAGACATTCAATAAATGGCTATTATTAGTAATAATTAAAGATACCTCCAGAATGAGAAATTTAAGAATTATGCAATTTCATCTTTTCAGCAAAATTAGATTACACAATAAAAATGCATGGGAATTTTGCTAAGCATATATGCGATGCAGCAGAGTTTGAGAAAATTGGACATAACCTAAATGTTCATTAGGTCCACGGAATAATGGAATATTATTCAACCTTTAGTAATAAAGAATATGTAGTGACATGAAAAGATGTTCACAATATAGAGGGGAAGCAGATTCAAAGTTGTTATGTATACCATTATTTCATTTTTTAAAAAAGCAGGATAGGAAAGGTATAGAGGACATGTAGCAAGGCAGAAAAATCATTGCCATCTAGAGATAATGAAAGTATAGATAATTTTTCTTTTTTAATTTCTTTAGCTATAATTTCTAATTTTTATAGAGACAGTACTTTGCTTTTAAAATAAGAGAAAAGGGTGCCTGGGTGGCTCAGTTGGTTAAGCGACTGCCTTCGGCTCAGGTCATGATCCTGGAGTCCCGGGATCGAGTCCCGCATCGGGCTTCCTGCTCAGCAGGGAGTCTGCTTCTCCCTCTGACCCTCTGACCCTCTGACCCTCTTCCCTCTCGTGCTTTTCTATCTCTCATTCTCTCTCTCTCAAAAATAAATAAATAAAATCTTTAAAAAAATAAAATAAAATAAAATAAGAGAAAAAAAGCAATGGTTTTTAAAACTTATGTCAGTTCCCTGGAGATAAGCCCAATTTGAATATTGAGTTAAACAGTGTTGATTGTATAAACTTACATCCATCTTCAAAACCTTGCTTTGGTTAGTTAAAAATTTAATGCAGTTTTCAGAAGAGTTGGTAGTAAAAGAAAAAAATTAACCGTGGCCAAGTAGTATTTACAACCAAGTGTCATGGGATCACTAATCTTTAGGAGTTTTCCTACCCAGCAATATCAACCAGTATATCTCAGGAATGCTGATTGCTCATTATTTGTCTTTTACCTCATACAGCTGGTAGGGAGGATCCAATCTTCAAGGTAATGAATTAGAAACTTGAACGGAATGAATTTCATGAAATCTGGGGGAGTAACAGAATTTCTCTTCTTTGGCCCATAAATGGTAGAGGACGAAGGGTTCACTAAGAGCCTGGTGAGGTTGAAGCCTCACCTCTCTGAGGAATGTGATTTGTGTACCTTTAGGAGCTATAACCAGATGGGGAAGAATTTGAAGGCTTGAGAATGGGATAGTTTAGGCACCAGAATACTATGAAATGGTGCCATCCCCACTGTATGCACTGATTATTTCTAGCTGAGCATTTGAGATGTGAAAGACCAAGCCCAGTTTTTAGGATCTCTGCTTCATTTCTTGTTGCTCTTCATTTGTAATCCCATGGATTCATGTGGGGCTTTCAAAAACACAACGTCACAACGGAAACTGAGTGCCTGCACACATATGCACACGTACACATGAGAAAAGACGGGGCTGGAATAAGAATAAGAAACATCGCTGCCCTCAGAGAGTTTATAGTCTAATACGGTCAGGACCCAGAGCTATGAACTTTGCCTGGAAATAGGCGGCTTGGGACAGTATTTTAGAAGGCACCAAATGCTGCCAGAGAAGTATTTGTGGCCAGTCTGTTCCTTGTTTGGAATCCAGTTCACTTTGGAAGCCTAGACCTGAGCCTGGCCACCAGCCTTGAGACTGTTTTGCTATAAATAGGCACAGCTGGAATTAAGAGGCCTTCCTCTGTAGGACTATCAGATTTCATTCTCAGAACTCCTACCATGCTTTCCCAGTTTGGATACTGTCTTGAGAAAGTGCTCCAAACACGAAAACTTCTTTCATGAGGATTTTTTAATTCAGAGACAAAGGACCGAAGGAGTGAATTGACTTAGGACATGGGCTCTGGGGTAGGATGACCTGTGTTTGAATCCCAGGTCCTCCTCCATCATGTGGTCTTGGGAAAGCTTTGTGGCTTCAATTACCTCATTTGTAAAATGGAATTAAAAATACTTGGGGTGGTGGCTCAGTCATTAAGTGTCTGCCTTCGGCTCAGGTCATGATCCCGGGGTCCTGGTATTGAGTCCCCCATCAGGCTTGCTGCTCAGCAGGGAGTCTGCTTCTCCCTCTCCCTCTGCCTCTCACCTGCTTGTGTTCTCTCTCCCTTTCTCTCTCTCAAATAAATAAAATCTTAAAAAAAAAATACTTCACAGGTTTTGTAAAGAATAAATGAGATACACATGTCAAGTAATTGAACACAGTGCCTACAACATACTGTCAACAAGTGGGTGCTGTGTTCATGATCATCAGTCGTGATGATGACTGATGGAGCTTTCTGCGCAGGCAGCACTGGGTCCCTGCTTGGAATATCCTCTCAGTAAATATGTCGACAACCCCACAAACTGTAACTTACAAACCTCCAGGAGATTAACTTAGAGCCCTTTTAGTCAAGTATGCATAGGACGTTTACCTCATGCTGTGACACAGTGTGAAAATCACAAAGTTATCTGTAACATTTCTGGTCTTGCATCCTGCGTTTCAGAGCACTTGACCTGGGTGCCACTTTGTGTCGCTCTCCCATGCTCTCTGCCTCAACTCTGCTTATTTCTTGGCCTTCTGTGGATTCAAAGGCCTGCCTCACTGCCATCTTTGCCCTTCCGAGCCCTAACCACTGCCTGGCCTGCCTCCCCCCGCCCCGCCCCTTGCCAATCTCCCTCTCATTACCAAGACAGTTCCTGGAAATACTGCAGAAGGTTTCTGTGGTCCATAAGAAAAGTGATAGTGTCCCTTGGCCTTCTTGGTCCCTCCACCCTCCTCAGAGAGGAAAAACAAACTAAAAGTGAGGAAGTCACTGGATACCGAAAGTGGAAAACACAAGCCAGGAAGTGAAGGGGGTTTCCCAGGATGGTAGGAAAGGGTGGTCCCCGGACCAGCTGCTCACACCACCTAAGAGAGCAAGTCCAGACACCCCTCCAAGAGACGCTGTCTTAGAAGAGGAAATTGGTAGAACACCTGACCCTCGTGAGAGGAGATTTAGACCATTGATGGGAGGTTTGAGGTTGAATCAATACGGGAAAAAAGCAAGACATTGGAGGAAAAACAAAGTTGTATGGGATGGAAAAACGAATTTGGCATCCCTACCTGGCTTAGCTTTGAATCGCATTTACATATTCATGAAGTGGAAAATTTGATAATGACCTAACCAAAATGATGATATAATTAGAAGGATGGGTATATTTACGGGGTGGGGGAGAAGCTAAATCCTCTTCCATAGTGGAGTCAATAAGTAATGCTCAAAAGCGAGAAAGCAACAAGGAACAAAACCAGTATATTATTCAGAAACAGGGAAGGATAGACCAAAATACTCAGCCAACAGAGCAGTTGCCTTTGAAGAAAGGAAAACTGGAAGAGGTAAACAGGGGACTGCTCTCTTTTTATACTGATCTTGGAGAACTTTGGGACTTTTTAAACTTTGTGCAAGTATAACTGATAAAAAATTAAAACAGAAAAAGCACAGATGCAGGGCGCCTGGGTGGCTGTTGATTAAGCATCTGTCTTCAGCTCAGGTCATGATCTCAGGGTCCTGGGACTGAGCCCTGCGGCAGGCTCGCTCCCTCCCTCTGGCCCCGCTTGTGCACTCTCTCAAATAAATACAAAGGCTAAAAAAGGTGAGAATAATAGAGGGAAGAAAAATAGTTAACAGATTTTATTTATAAAAATGTGTGTGGTTGGAAGAATATTCATCATCTCTGGATTGAATAATTTCCCCCTTTTTATACTCTTTCTGAAATTCTTGCAGCGGGGCGTGTATTACCTTCCTAGTAAGAAAAAGAGCGATTTCATGTTGCAGGAAAGGAAGCAATTAGAAAGTGAGAGGAAAACTATGTACAAAGATGTTTATGATACATTGTTAATAATCCTAAGAAATCAGAAACAGCATGTCTAATCATCCAGGAAAGGGTAGTAAATTATGGTGCACATGCCCAGTGAAATAGCGTGCAGTTCACCTTTAGTTAAGCTGTTGCCTCAGCTTAAATGCTCTTTACCTTCCTTCCCCACCCTTTTGGTATCTTCCTTGACCATTCCAGATGCACCTCTGACAGCCACCACCGTCACCTACCCACCCTACCCCACTGCCATCTCTGTCCCAGATGTGTAAATTATCCCTATTCTGTGTTTCCAAGATGCTCTATGGTCTATGTCGAGACATTTACCACCTAATGTTATAATTATCTGTCTGTCTTGTCCACTGAACTTGAACCTTCCTGATAGCTAGGATTGCGTCTTACTTACTTTTACCACTTCAGTGCAGAGCACAAGGCATAATAAATATTAGGTGCCTAATACATGTTTGCAGGATAAAAAATAATGTGGGAAATCCTGGTCATGTTAAGTAGAGGAGAAAAATAGCACCTGCACTTCAGGGTTGTTACAAGGATTAGATGGGAAAATCCAGGTAAAACGGTAGAATGCCAAGCATTGGTGTGTTCAGTGAACAGAGGATAAACATGGTGGGAGTGTACTAACAACAATGACAAGAGTTGTATATTTTTTGTTTTCACAGATAGCCCCAGTACAGGCCTTGGGCCTTGTGGCTGGATTTTGGTGGCTGTCTCGTTCTTGTTCACGGTTATAACTTTCCCCATATCGATATGGATGTGCATAAAGGTAAAGAATACGTCACTTCCGTCTGCAAAGGGGTCAGCCCCTCACCACAGAAGCACACGTTGTGCGTATGTGTGTGGAAAAGGGAGAGAGAGAGACCTACTGGCCTGAATTCTTTTTCCTTCATCTCTCCCTTGGAAAATTCCCTCTAGTCACCTACTGTAATGGAATTTGGGGACTTCCTTTCAGCCATGGTCCAGGCAGTCCTTCTCAGAGGTTAGAGTAAGGACCCCCATCTGAAATCTTCTGAGATCAAGGATGTGGGGTGGTCCTGTCCACACTGAGGTTTGGCTCCTGGCTCCATTGTTCACTGTGTGACCTTTGCCACGTTTCCTTCCTGTAAAATGGGAGGAAGTAACAACACACACTTCATAGGGCCATTGCGAGGTTAAATGATGTATCTAAACATACTTACCCCAATGCCTGGCATATGGCAAGGGCCCCCCAGTTGCTGGTTACTTTTTCCATAAAGTTATTAATACTTCGATAAATAACTATCATTTACATATTCCTAAGAAGGTAAAATATGCTCCAAGAATTTTCAGATAAGTTTATTATTATAATTTAAGGAATTGGGAGACAAACCATGGGGAATTTAGTTGTTTGTTATTGTTGTTTTGATTTTTTCTGTATTAACAATGCATGAGTAACTGAATGATTCTGTTAACAGCTGAGGAGTAAAGGATTTGCTCCTATATACTACCCTATACTTCCCAAATTGTATACCGTGAATATCTATTACTTTTATAATCAGATAAAAAAATAGTAAATACATATTGTGCTTGGTAATTAAACATTGGACATGTTATTTATAGATACTGTTTGGATTTTATTTTATTCTTTTTAAGTTTTATGTGTTTAAGAAATCTCTACATCCAACATGGGGCTCGAACTCATGACCCCGAGGTCAAGAGTCACATGCCCTTAAGACTGGGCCAGGCAGGTGCCCTGATACTGTTCGGACTTTAGAGAAAAAGCAAAATGGAGGCATCTAACCTGTTTAGAGCAGAATATATATTTAAGAAGCTATCTATAAATATCTAGCATATATAGATATTTGTATTCTTCATGTTCAATTATTATTTGTGTTTTTAATCTAGATCATAAAAGAATATGAACGAGCCATCATCTTTAGATTGGGTCGCATTTTACAAGGAGGAGCAAAAGGACCTGGTCAGTACTAGAATTCTGGGTGGGTGGCCTGGAGACTGAAATTCTTCCTCTTGTTGATGTGAATTCCCTTATGTGGGTCCCTTCTGTGTTGACTTGGAAAAGAATGCCTGTAACAGAAGCCGTGTAACAATAGCGGTGGTGCTGGCCAGTCTTGCTACAGTCACCCTTTCCTTCCCTGGCTCCCCTCCCCTTCCCATCACCGCTGATAAGATTATTTTAGGCCAAGAATAGCCACAGCTGTGGAAGTTGGAGCATGAGAATTTCTACTCGCTAAAGGCTTTCTAGATTTTGTTCTCTGTGCCTTATTTTTGGCCAGCTTCCCTTAAGCCCCTACTATATTCCAGGCTCCGGGAACTCAAGGGAGACTAGAATATAGTTCCTGCCCTCAAGGAGCTTGCTGTCTAGTGGACGCCAAAAAGGAAGCAGTTACAATCCCATGTGCTAAGTACTGTGACCAAGTCACTGCAGGTAGCTGTGGAAACCCGGAGATAGGTGATGGACCCTGAGCGGGAGGATGAGACCAGGCTTTGGAGGTGACATCTTGGCCGAGTCTTGAGGCATGGAGAGGTGTTGGCCAGAGGGGCGGTGTTCCCAGCAGAAACACAACATGTGCAGAGCCATGTTGAGGGGAGTATGGCGGCCCAGGGGCCTGCAGGTCGCTCAGCCCAGCGAGAGCATGGAGCTCAAGGAGAGGGGAGCGGCCGAAGAGGGGCGTCGGGGCAGGTCATGCAGGACCTTGGGTGGCACATTGAGGGGTCCGTAGGTCAGGAAAGATTGTTGTGCTTGCGGCTGAGGAAGTGGGTCAAAGGAGAGACCCTGGAAGGCCTCGAAAGACGTGGGAAGGATTGCATTGGTCTAAGTGAAAACCAGACAGCCAGTGGCAGTGGACTCAGGAGATGACATCCTGGGCCTCGGAGGCAGCAGTTAGGTGGGGAGCGCCAGCAAGAGGACGGCGTTCCTGGCGGCGGGCTCATGCACTGAGGCGAACTGGCTTCTTTCCGTGGGCTACGTTGAGAATTAGAATGAACGGACGAGGCGCCGGTGTCTCTCGCTAATGTTCTGTGTTTCTTTGCTGCAGGTTTGTTTTTTATTCTGCCCTGCACTGACAGCTTCATCAAGGTGGACATGAGAACCATTTCATTTGACATTCCTCCTCAGGAGGTAAGGTGATGGTCTTTTGCCCTCAGTAACAGATGTCACGTGTGAAAGTAGCTGGCCATGAGAGCAGCACAGAATATGGTGGTGGTGAGGGCACGGGTGTAGAGCCTGTCTGCTGTCACCATTTTCTAGCTGTGTGACTTTGAGGAGGTTCCTTAACCTCTCTGTGCCTTAGTTTCCTCATCTGTAAAATTAGAGGTTATAATAGTAGGACCTACTTTTTTTTTTTTTTTGAGATAGAGAGAGAGAGAGAGAGAGAGCAAGCACAAGCCAGAGGTAGAGGAGAGGCCAAGGGAGAAGCAGACTCCCCACAGAGCAGGGAACCCGATGCGGGACTCAATCCCAGGACCCTAAGATCATGACCTGAGCTGGAGGCAGACGCTTAACCGACTGAGCCACCCAGGTGCCCCAGTAGGACTTAACTCTAGAAGCTTCTTGTGAGGACTGAGACGTTATATGTAAAGTGCTTAGAACAGTGGCTGATAAACAGTAAGTCCTACATCCGTGCTTATTATTACCAAGCATAGCGTAACGTTAGCATTATCATATTTGTCATCCTTTTGACTGCCACATTTCTCTGCTATGGGTTTCTGATAGAAAATCCAGCTTAGTACAATATTCTTAAGGTTCCTGTTTGTATTCTAGATAAAGAATTAGGAGCTGCTCATTTGACATTTTAGATAAAGCATATAATGTTTTATAATAGTAATTTTTTTTAAGATTTTATTTATTTATTTGATAGAGAGAGAGAGACAGTGAGAGAGGGAACACAAGCAGGGGGAGTGGGAGAGGGAGAAGCAGGCTTCCTGCGGAGCAGGGAGCCCGATGTGGGGCTTGATCCCAGGACTCTGGGATCATGACCTGAGCCGAAGGCAGACGCTTAACGACTGAGCCACCCAGGCACCCCTATAGTAGTAATTTCTCCATGCTCTTTCTAACTACTTTGCAAGGAATGTCACAGTTGAAACTCACCGCAGGATCCATAACTGCCGAAGGGCAGAGGGATCCCAGCAGACCAGAGTGGCAGAGCCAAGAGCGACGGTCTGCTCTGTGGGTTCCTCACCGAGTGTTTTTCCCACAGCTCCATGCTAAATGCACCCGATGTTCACTCCATCATGGCCCGGGACAGTGAGGGCCATCCTGGGCCGCATGTCCGGGGAGGCATCATCACTATTGCCGAGGCAGATAGAAAGCCTGGAAACAGGATAAAGGGAGGGACAGAAGAATCGTGTCAAGTGTTTCTTGGCCAGAGACCAGGTGCACAGCAGGGTGGTGGAGCCTGGCCGCACTGGTTGCCTTCTCTTGTCCCCGAATCCAGGAACCGGCGTAGGAACCTCCTTGCTGGTGCCAATCCAAGCAGTGGGCGATGAGGTCAGACTTTATCATCCACATGCACGTAGGGACACCAGGAATCGCTTTTACCCACGAGAACAGGGCTAAGAGGCGTGCTGTATTCTCTGCATGTTTTCCCATCTTTCAGAGAAGATTGAGCCTCGGAAGGAGCCCCTCGCAGGGTAGCTGGGAGTCCTGATATCCTCGATAAAGGTGGTGGACATCTGGCAGGCTTGCCGTAAGCCGCTCCTTCCGGCTGCTCTCTCCTCTGCCCTGGGCCGCTGACTCGCAGCGGAATGGCACTTGGCGAGCAGTCCTTTCTGCGACCCCCTGTGAACATAATACGAAGGAAGAGAAATACTCCGCCAACGATGAACAGTAGCAGCTGTCGAAACCTCTGGCTGTGGCAGTCACAGGGGCAAGAGACTGTTTAGAAAGGATACACATTTTCCTATCACATCATGGGAAATAATTCATTTTCACACAAAGATGGTGATACATTATTAGAAGTATTTTTAGATTATCAGAAAAAAAGATAACTGCTTTCCTGCCTGACAGGGACTAAACTGCTATGGAACACCATTGTCATTACCACCTGCCATTTACATAGCCCTTTACACGTTGCAAAGAGCCTCCTCGTTCTACCGAATCTTCAACTTCAAAGCAATTGGCAAACCATTTGCATAGAATTGGGCAGCATTATTAGCCCCATCTCACAGGTGAAGACTCTGTAGGTCTAGCAGGTTAAGAGCCTCACTAGAGATCACCAAGGGAGGTACAGGTGTCCTGACCCTCCCTCCCATGCTCTGCCTCAATCACTGTATTCCTAGGATCATGTTTCAGTTCATCTCCCAGTTATTCACTACCTGCTATGTATCCAACACTCCACCACTGCTAGAGATAACAAAGACAAACTGCCCTCAAGAAATGCATGGCCCAGTAGAGAAGCAGTGAGGCCAACCAGCAACACAGTCACTGCAGTTAGGTGCCGAGGGAAAAGTGGTTAACCCTGCCTGGTTAGGAAAGTTTCACAGAGGAAAAGACACTTGAGCTGTGTCTTGGATGAGTAACCGTGTGCCAGTCTGCTGGTGTGAGGGAGAGGGGAGGCGGGGACACCTGCACCAATGCCCGGGACACGGAACATGGTGCTCGGGGGACCTACACCTTGTCCTGTGCAGCGTGTGTGCGGGAGGGAACAGGAAGGAGTGAGGCCAAAGGGCCAGCTGTCAGAGGACCTGTCAGCCAAACTAAGGAGCCGCCCTGAAGGGGGGAGGGAGGAAGAAGCATTGACTCATCATGTCCTGGAAAGCAGGCCATGACCTGACCTCACCCTATAACAACAGTCCCCATTCCCTTTTTGTTCGACTTCACTGTACTGCCTTAGAGAGTTCACCAAGCCCAGGCTCTGCCACAGCGCCATGCCATTTCGTGCATTTTGTTCCCTGCCTCGCATACTCTCCCACCACCCTCGGGAAATTATTTCTTCCTTCAAGACGTAGTTAAAGTATCACCCCTGCCCCCCGACAACTGCCCCTCCTTTGTCCCATCAAGGATCCCTTGATTCCCCACCCTCTTTGAAAGTGCCTACTATGGAGTGGTGTCTCAAAATTTGTTGAATGATTGAAGGAATTAATGAATAAGTGCATGTATTTTATTAAAATTCTAAAGGCATCATTAGCTTTCGGATGCTTTGTTGTCTTAGTCCATTCGGGCGGATATAACCAAATCCCATACACTGGGTGGCTCATAAACGACTGAAATATATTGCTCACCGTCCTAGAAGCTAGAATCCAAGGTCAGGGGACCAGCAGACTCAGAGCCTGTATGAGGGGCTGCTTTCTTGTCCATAGACGACCATGAGGGTTCAACCCTCATGACCTAATCACATCCCAAAGGCCCCACCTCCTAATGCCATCACATGGGGGGTTAGGGTTCAGTGTCTGAATGTGGAGGGCACACATTTAGTCAATAGCACTTACTAAAGAAAATCAGCCGATGTCTTAAGATGTTCCATAGAATAACATTGCTTACCCTTATATTAAAGAAGGAGTTGGTTGGCAGGTGTAAAATGGCTTTCTTTCTATTACAGATCCTCACCAAGGATTCGGTGACCATCAGTGTGGATGGCGTGGTCTATTACCGCGTTCAGAATGCTACCCTGGCTGTGGCGAATATCACCAACGCCGACTCGGCAACCCGTCTTTTGGCACAAACGACTCTGAGGAACGTCCTGGGCACCAAGAACCTTTCCCAGATCCTCTCCGACAGAGAAGAGATTGCACACAACATGCAGGTGAGGCTGTGAGTCCCCAGAAATTCAAAGATGAAGTCAAGCGTTAGTGGTTGTTTGACAACTTGACTAATTCCAACTGGTGGGGGGGATCACTGGCCGGCCTTTTTCTCTTCACAGAAAGGTTTTCTCAAACTCGATGGAAGGGAATATTTTTCACACAGATAATAGCTCATGGGTTAACAGCTCAGATGCATGAATTGTATTTTCATTCCCTTCAGTGTAAGGTTTTTTTTTTTTTTCCAGAATTAGCATTAACCTTTTTTCTTTAGCGTAATAATTCCGAGGCCATTCTGCAAGACCGTGTGGGTGTCGTTAAAGCTCTATTCTCTGCACGAGTCCCATGACTTCCCTTGTAACTCATATGCGTCCCAAGCTTTCTAGAGTAATAGATTATGAATTAAACCTGACTTGTTCAAAGAAGATAAAGGACTAAAATCCAAGATCTGGTTATTTTGTACAAACATCATCGTGTGTCAAATCTATGACCTTAGCTGATGCGCACAACCACCGTAGGAAACAAAGGAAGGTTTCGTTCCTCCCATTGTAAAGGGACGAAGTTGAAGCAGGAAGAAGCGCTGTGGCTTACATGGAGTCATATTAGATCAGGAGCCAGCTAACCACCTGCTTTTATTACTGACGTGGGACTGGGACACAGCCATCCCTGTGGCTTTTGACCCACATCGGCACGGTTAAATAGTTGCAAGAGAGACTGAAAATAATCATTGTCTGGCCCTTTGAGGAAAAGTTTGCCAACCCCTGCATGAGCTTCTTAGTAATGGAACCAGGATCAGCCCCCCGGGGCCTTGGCCCCTGCAGAAGGTAACTAGCCTCTCTACCAGCTCTCCCCCAGCGCCCTGTCTGCTCCCAGCGCAGGGGTCTGCCGTCGGCCTCTGGGCTGGGCTGAGCATTCTTCGCTGGCCTTCTCTCTTCCGAACAGTGTACCCTGGATGATGCCACCGATGACTGGGGAATAAAGGTGGAGCGCGTGGAAATTAAGGACGTGAAGCTGCCTGTGCAGCTGCAGAGAGCTATGGCTGCAGAGGCAGAAGCATCCCGGGAGGCCCGTGCCAAGGTAGCCTTGCTGTCTTGTCTTTTTTTTCTTTTCTTTTTTCTTTTCTCTTCTCTCTTTTTTTCTTTCTTTCCATAGTTTGTTTTTCCTCTTGAGTTTTTTTCTTAATTACAAAACAGTAAAACATTGTCGTTATAAAAATGGACGTAATCCTAAAGCGTTGAGTCAAGTTGAAAGCCTCCCTGTCGCTTCCAGCCACATCCCCCCCCAGTTTAGTGATATACTGGGGCTCTACCTGATGAGGGTGTTAGACTGCTGGCTTGTTTGTTTTACGAAAGTTGGGTCGAGTACCATACCTCTTGTTCTCTACCTTGCTCGTTGCACTGAACAACATCCTGTGAGCACAGCGGTGCGTGCAGAGCCACCCCATTCTTCTGTGACTGCGTGTCCCACACTCTTATGTTCCTGGTCCACCACTAAGCACAAATTAACAGTTCTGACTTCAGAGCAGCTGGGCAGTCCCGTCAGTGTGCTTACCATTCATTCCTTCCCTATTTTGTTTCTTTCAAAGATTTTATTTTTTTTTCCCTAAGTCATCTCTACACCTAGCGTGGGGCTCGAACTCACAACCCCAAGATCAAGAGTCGCACACTTTACCGACCGAGCCAGCCAGGCGCCCCTCCTTCACTATTTTTGTCTTCTCTTTCATTCTCTCTTTTCTCAGGATCTTCTTCCTCTCTGCCCTCTTAACTTTTTCTCACCCCTCTTTCTCTGGTGTCTGCTTTTTCCCCTCTCTCCACCTACCTCTGGAGCCCACATGGATGCATGCCCCCTAGGTGGGGTATCGAGGAAATATCTATTAATCTAACCTAGGAAAGAGGATTTCTGGAGCTAATACCTAAGAACACAGGGATATCTCGCCAAAACCAAGGTCGGGAAGCAGACTCAAGTCTCCAGAGTTGGAGCCAGGGACCGCAGTGCAGTCAAGACTGAAGGGAGCTAATCATTCCATCTCCTGGGTCCCACCTCATTGCTGACAGCTTGACGGCAGAACGTCTGACTCTCAAGTTTACACGCCTCCCCAGTTGAACACTAAAGGGGACAGACCAGCCTTGATTCCAAATTCACAGCAGAGAGATTTTCTTTGGTCAAAATTTAGTCAAAAGGACAAAGTCAGATATTAATAAGGTCCCACAGCCCCTTGTGCGTATATGAATGGGTGGAGGAAGAGAGTTCTCATCAGAGGGGTTGCTGTGGACTTGACAGATCTCCCAAGACTCAAGGAGCAAACCAGTTTGTTGTTTTGTTGGAAAATAGTAGTAGCTGGAGATAATTGGCTAAGTGCCGAACCCTAACCTTCTAGTAGGAAGCCCTTTACGCTGCAAATCAGGCACTATAATTTCTTAGCCAGCACCAATTGGAATAGTAGCTCCTTTGACACACTATGCTCAGAATTTTCTACTAACCAGACTTGTTAGGTTTTTCTAACGTGATAATTAATGCTTATGAGGACAACCTGGTAATACTGCAGAACCCTCAAGTGCTCTCTCTCTTGCAAAGTCATCACAGTTAGAAAACTAAGTGGTATTTCTGGTAACATTAAATATGACCTGCTATAATCTAATGAGTATTTTGAAAATTAGGAATTGCTTTTACCTAGAATATGTCATTAACCAACAGCTCCATTTCCAAGCCATATCGAATGGAACTTATCATACATAGATGATTTAGAATGTCAGAGCCTGAAAAGTCCTTAGAGATTACCTTCAGAAGGTGACAAATAACCTGGCCCAGATGCTGCCCCTCCCCCCTCCTATTCCCCTGCTGGTAATTAACCACAGCACTGTTTTCCACTGAGTCTAAGCTTTGACCTCAGAATCCTCCTCTTGCCCTCCAGGTAACAAGCCCCAACTGCTTGGAATTGGCTCTAAAAATGAAACTTATTTGCCATCCCACTATTCTGATGAAAACTGAAGCCCAGAAAATTTATGTGATTTCCTCAAGGCCACAGAGTTGATGAGTGACCGTAGAAATTAAAAATTAGAATTCCCCTCTGCTCCTCACTGCCTCCTCTGGACTTCCCGTGATGGACAGAGCCTCTGTGCAGGTGTTCTCACCAGCTAGGAAAGAGAATCCCTGATAACAATGGGAAGAGATAGAGGAAGCCGGTTAGAATGCTGAATTACTGTGATCCCACTTGGATGAGACCGTAGGGACCATCTAGAATATTCTCGTGGACCTGGGCAGTGACTGTTTTTTAAAATTAGAGTGAACACATAGAATCCCAAGGAGTCTCCCTTCCGTAAAATATAGCAGCCCTGCAACCACCATAAGGCCAAAAATTCAAAATCGTATATTCAGGTTCTCATGGAAAATAGGGAGTCTGTTTCTTCAATATATAAATTGTGAACGAAAAGGGTAGGAGAGCCTCTAGACTAAGAGACTTCAGAGAGAAATTCCTCAAGTTAATTAGCCATCAGGGAAATGCAAATTCAGATCACAAGCAGATGCCACACTAGATATCCACCAGAATGGGTCTAAAAAAAGAAAGAAAGAAAAGGGAAAGAACCGGGTGTGGGTGAGGGAGGACCTGGTGCTCTTGTTTTGTTAATGAGACTGTAAATTTGGTGCCTCCGCTTTGGAGCACCATCTGGTGGCAGCCCGTGTCCAACAGAAAGGCCTGTACCAGAGTGTTCACAACAGGTTGTATTACCCCAAACTGGAAACTGCCCGCATGTCCCTTGCGGTTGAACGGATAAAGTATGCTTTATTCACGAAGGAGCACCATGCAATGAAGAGAATGAACGTCCAAGTGCTCCCAAACATGGTTTGAGAGAAAGGAGCCGGGCACAAAAGAGGACAGATTCTCCCGCAAGCTTGACAGCACGTTAGCTGAACCTCTTTCTCAAGTGCTTAGACCAGCTCTTAATGGCTTGAGATGTAATACCTTTTCTGCTTGCATCTTCCTGATTTCCTTTCTCATAACTCTCAAAAGAAGACCTGGCACGTGCTTTCAGGCTCATATTCCCGGGCCTAGTTATCTATTAATTGAGAGAGTGGAGTGCAGAAACGCAGATGCCCTTTCTCTGCCCTTCTCAGACCAGCCCGCCCGGGCTCTGGAAGAGACAACAGTACCAACCTCACATACCTGAAAATGCCCGACTCGCAAGTGATGGTCTGTTGAGACGAAGTGTTGATCAACATGGGGCTGCTGGGCATTTGGCAGAGGCCCCACGCCCCACAGGTAGTTGGCTCTGCTTTCTGAGATCCCATTCACGGCATCTATGGGGCCTGTGTTTAGGCAGAGCCAGAGGTACTGCACCCACGTCTTTCCCAGCCTGCCCAGAGCAGCTTTTCCATTAACAACATGGCGTGCCTAGCCTGGTGGGTCCGGCTGCCCAGCCAAGAGACTGTGCATTGACTGGTAATGGGAGATGAGATAGCCTTGCAGTTGGTCCTTGTCCAGACCAGGAAAAAGAAAAAAAGTGCCTTATCGGCCGAGATGACATAGAAAAAGCTAGAGCCTGCTGTTCTCGGGGCAGGAGCCTGTTTTTGCATTCTGTATGTACAGTGCCTGCTTTAGGGCACAGGTACGTGAGTCACTTTGAGTGTACCTGGTTCTTGCCCCTTCTCACAGACCTACGTAGGACATCCTGATAAATTAAGGTTTTTATCCTCTAAACTGAGTGCCTTCTCTTGGTAATACCATATCCGATAACCCCCATCTCACCTAATGGGACGACCCAGGCAACTGAAACCTAGAAACCTGGGCCCCTGCCTCTGTTCCTCTCCCTCCCTGTACCCAGTCAGCCTCCATACTGCTGACTTTCCTCCTGAATAGCCCCCCAGCCCGTTCCTCCCTCCATCCCCACTACCGGCAAATCACCCCGGTCACTCTGAGGCTGTCCCACCAGCCCTTGTCCGTCTCTCCTCATCCGTCCTCAGGCATCTGTCAGTGTGTCTTCTCCAGCTAGATCTGATGAGGTTCCTGCTGGAAACCTCAGCAGCTTCCCACTGCCGACAGGCTGCAGACCAAGCATCCCTGCCTCCACTTGGCCTTACGCCATATTCCCACTTACATTTTTTTGGAATACACCAGCTTTTTTTTATACCTCGGTGCCTTTCCATGTGTGCTGCCTGAAGTATTCTTCTTCATCTTTGTCCAAACAGCAAAGCTTTCGTCCTGTCCTGTTCAACTTCTCTATCTCACCACCCCACCTTCTGCAAAAACTGCTTTCCTCTGAGGGCTGGCACTCTGCCTTGTATCCATCTCTGTCCACATTCGTCACGCTGGAATGAAGTGGTCTGTTTCCATGTCTGTGTCCCCTGCTTGACCAGTTGCTGAAGGAGGCGAGGGGGTCTACTCTTACCCCTAGCTCCTGCCCAGGGCTTGACCCCTAGGCCCCAACATTAATAATGTAAGTAAATGTAACTCCACTGGTCCTAAGACCACTGCTTCTGATTTTGACTCGCACGGGTGTATTATGAACCATGAATATTTTGAGATCCATGTGAAAATAACCTAGTGGAACTGCACGATTAAGCTGGAGGATCCTGGTATCTTCACCCCTCTTCTCCGATGATTATGAAGTAAAAGGAACTGCCTTGATTTGGCTTCCGAATCTTGTACACATTAAGGCATAGGTGGATCCAAAAAATCGGGTCTTGACTTCCCACTTGCCTTCCTATACAACGGCCTCCATTTATACTTTCCACACGTACTATGGCTTTTCTGTCTTCCTAACAATGGCCCAAGGAGGCAGGTGCTGTCCCGTTTTAAGAATAAGAAACCAGAGCTCAGAATGTTAAATAACCCCCTTGAGGACACTCAGCTGGTAAGGGTTTAGGTTCGAGATTTGAGCTCAAGCCTGTCTCGCTCCAGAGCCTCCCCACCGCCCCAGGGATGTTCAAACTTTTATGCTCATGTAACCTCGCAAAGAATTTAGAAAAACTGTATGTTCCCATCACACATTTTAAATAGACCTGTAAAAATTTTCATTTGAATTGATACACTTGGTTGAGCATATAATCCCTGGCATGTTTTAAATATTGACATTTTACACTAAACCTGTGAACATCATTCTTTTAAATGTATCCAGTGATATTCAAATAACATAATGACTCCATGATCTATTTAAAATATGTCAATAAGTTTTTCATAGTCGGGCATGTTTCACTGTCCTTTTTTTCCTTGAACTTATATTTCCACTCCATCTCCTCCATGGATTTCTTTTCCTAAAACAATATATTTCGTCATGAATTATTTTATTACTCTACTGCAACACATTTAGTATCGAAGTTAAAATTAATTTTTTAAAAATTTCCCTTGACTATAAGCAAGGCATTTAAATGTTTCAGAATTTCTCCTCAATAATTTTTTTTTACTAGAAATGCTTCTCTTAACAAGATGAAGAATTCATATCTTCGTAGTTGGCTATTACTTATTGCCAAAAGATTAAACATCAATTCTAGTCTTAACTTTTTCATTTTAATAGATATAAGGAGTCAGAACTTTTGTTTACATAAATAAGTGGGTAGAAATGCAAGTTTTGTTTAAAGTCACGCCATGCAATTCTTTGCACTGCCTCTGAATTTATGTGCTAAAAAAATCATACAGCGATCTTCATCAAAAAATATATATTTTTTAAAGACTTTATTTATTTGAGAGAGAGAGAGCGCACAAGCAGAGGGAGCTGTAGAGTGAGAGGGAGAAGCAGACTCCCCGCTGGGTGGGGAGCCCAACGTGGGGCTCGATGCCAGGACCCCACGATCACGACCCAAGCCGAAGGCAGACGCTCAACTGACTGAGCCACCCAGGCGCCGCTCAAAAAATATTTTTAATGACCATCAGCTTTTATTTATTTGTTTGTTTGGTTTTTTTTTTGGTGACCCATCAGCTTTTAGTTCTGGAAAGGTCTCTTTCCTTTCTTAACAAAGAACCGGAAATCCATTTGACTTGCAAAAGGATTCGTATCCAGTCCTTAGTCACTCTCTCAACCCCTACACAGTATTTTGAACTGTCCCTTTGCCCGGTCCCCTGAAGCGTGTGAGAAAGATCTGAGTAAAAGAGGATATCTTGACCTAAGGCATGTACTCAGGCAAATCAGATAGAGGAAAAAGGAGAAATGGAAACTGGGTCACTGGAAATCGATTTCTTTTTTAAAATTTTTTTTAAAAGATTTTACTTATTTATTTGAGAGAGAGAGAGAATGAGAGAGAGCACGAGAGGGAAGAGGGTCAGAGGGAGAAGCAGACTCCCTGCTGAGCAGGGAGCCCGATGTGGGACTTGATCCTGGGACTCCAGGATCATGACCTGAGCCGAAGGCAGTCGCTTAACCAACTGAGCCACCCAGGCGCCCCTGGAAACCGATTTCTTAAAACCATTTTGGCTCGGCCCTGGAAGGTTTAATGTACATACCCGGGTTTGAAGACAGCTGCCTTTTTCTCCGTTTTGACCACTCCCTGGTCCTGTCCTGTAGGTCATTGCAGCTGAGGGAGAAATGAACGCATCCAGGGCTCTGAAAGAAGCCTCTATGGTCATCACCGAATCCCCGGCAGCCCTTCAGCTGCGGTACCTCCAGACGCTGACCACCATTGCAGCTGAGAAAAACTCCACGATCGTCTTCCCCCTGCCCATAGACATGTTGCAAGGCATCGTGGGGGCAAAACAGTGAGCCGCAGAGGCCAACGCAGAGATGCGCCCATCCCTTCCGGGGTAGAGCAGGGACCAAATCAGCCCTCAACCTGTAAGGAGAGAGGAGGGTGGGACCTCGACTAAATATTCCTTCCTCTCTTTCCTTTTCCATATGTTGACTGCAAGGTTCTTAGAATGTGTAGTGATCCTAGCAACAGATGAAGATTGTTAGCTTGTAAATACTGAGAAAGAGAAGGGGCGTGGGGAGGGGACTACTGATTTATAGAAGATAATTTCTTACTCTTTAAAATATTTAAAAGTTCATATATTTAGATCATTATGTAATAGGTTAAATCCCCTTCTTTTGACTTTTCACTGGGTCATTCTGCACCCTCTATCTGCAGCCAGGCCAAAGGCAAGAAAATAGGTTATAACCACCACTTGACACCCTGGCTGAACAAATGCTTTGCAGAAAGCAGAGACCTTAGGCTACGACCAGCTTCTCTGGGCCATACGTGCCTTACTCCTGGGGAATCTTAAGGAAACGTTCTTGCCATCTGTTTACTTTCTAATCCCAGGCCATGTTTCAAAATAATCCTCTCTCGGGAGGAGGCATTTTCTTGCCTGTACCGGTCAACACTGGAGGAAATGGTCAAGATCAGTGAGAAAGATGATCTTAACCCTTGAATGACTTGTAAATCCACCGTCACAAAAATCCTTTAAGAATAATATGTTTCTTTTTTTCCTCGAAACTTCTTTGAGCCTCTCTACGACCAAATGATTCCCCTGTGGTATTTCAAACCAGCTAAATACTTGTCACAAAAGTGCTTTTTTCTCACTTTTGCCTATTTTCATATATCAGGTTCTCAATAGTTTGATTTTTTAAATGACACTTTCTCTCAGTTCTATAAACAACTGTTTATATACCCATTCGAATAGCTTAAGGACTAATACTTTTTTTAAAAATGTCTTCAGAAAGCCATTCTATTTTACTGTCTGCATGCTATTAACTGTTGTACACTGTGAAATATTTTGGTTATCAATCCCGTTCATTAAATACTATAAGGAATTCACAGTATATTGGGCACATAATAACCAATGAGCTTGGCAAGACACTGTCAAACTTAGGATATACATACGGATCTAGGTCTTTTTTCTATTTGCAGAATCATCTTTTTCTGTCACTAATGTCAATGCCTAAAGAGGAAGTGGTCAGCCCCTCTGAACCACAGTTGCTTATTTTGCAGTAATAGGAAGCGCCTTGAGTTTTGCAAATGCTCTTGAATCTGGGCAACCTGGCATTCTTCCTGTTGGTCCGAAAACCTGGCTGGAGACATCCCTCCTTGAGGAACTCAAGTTACTCATTTTAAATAATGCTCGTATCTCTTTGGTGAGGTGGTGACCCATAAGGACCAGGAAACAACCCCTTATCCTGGCTGAAAAATCTCTTCTCAGGCTTAGAGTAACCATGCGTTCTGCTCCTGGAGTTTCCCTATTTACAGATACCAGTCTTCACCTCTCTGCCTTGTGGATTCATAGCCCAGTAGGGTGGGATTAAATTGCTTGAGAGGGAGGAAGCATAAAAGGGGTCTAGGGTGAGTGTTGGTGCAAGAGGTTTTTCCACATGGCCTCCCTTTCCAATGCTGTACATAATAAAGTGTGCACTTGCACTCATTTTCTTTGGGTGAGAGTCTGTTTCTGCCTGCATTTAGTGTCTGTGGACTTCATTTTTCAGAAGTGGCCCGGGAGATCCTCCCATCCTGGGCTGGCTGCGTTGGCTTCTTCGTGTGCTCTTTATGGGCCAAAAAAGGAGGAGAGCTTACAATCATCCATCTGTCGTCTTTCTTGTCTAGGTTCCCTCTGCTGCACCTGCCCACATATTTTCCCTGGGGGGTTTGAGATCCATGGATACCCTGAATGCGTCACTAGTTTAATTTCCTTTTGCTTTAATACAAACAGGACAGGAACTCCCTTCTGTCACCCAGTGGTCTGTCACATCCCCTGTGCCTTGCACACTGCCTGGCCCCAAGTACACAACCAATACCTAAGGTCGGACACAGGCCCAAGGTCAGACACAGGATCCAAGCCCAGGCCGGCCTCTTCGGCTCCTGTCATGGCCACCACAGTGACGTACATGTTGTAGATGACTGAACACAAGGTCACTTTTTTGAGGGCAAAAATTGTTAGGAAGAGAAACAATGTGATTGATGTGATAGTGTTCTCAATTCACCATTTTGCCTTTGAGAGAGAGATAATAGGAAGTCCGAGTGAGTGACTCCGTAGCCTCAGGCAGCTTCCTTTCTCTGAGTACTGTGGAGCTCTGTCAAAGACCACAGCCACCAATAAACTGAAACTGGCCAATAAACCAACTTGAATGGCAGTAGAGGAAATGAATTCCGGGGCAGGTCTACTTGCAATTCGTCCTCCCACAAGTTTTTAGGATGTGAGCTGGCTCGTCTAGACAGGCCTCCGCCTGCCTCTTATGGAAGGTTCTAGAAGCTCCAGGTGAAAATGCTGCTTTTGTTCCAGAACTCTGCATTTGTCAAGTTGATCACTGTGTGAAAGTAACCCTTTGGGGTGAGGCAGGAGTTACAAGATCAGGTCCAAATCCCTTCGCATACTAGTTGAGGTTCCCCTGGGCCCTGCCCACCTCTCAGATGGGAGGCCCAGCCCTCCGCAGCTGCTCCGGCTTTACGGGCTGTCCCTGAGCATACTGTTCTCCCTCATCACTCCCTCTGTACTTGTTGCACAGTCTGCCTGAAAAGCAAGGGTCCCTCCCTCCCCGCCCCGTGACTCACCTGGAAAATTCCTTCTCCGCTCCCCTTGTCACCTCTGCGATGAATCAGAATCTCTGGAGGTAGGGCCCCTGGGGCATCTATGCTTTTAAAAACCTCCCTGGGCGATCTGAGTGAGCAGCAGCTCTGGAAATGGCAGTGTAAACACACACACACCCTTCCTACCATATAAACCTTCAGACTGGCCTGTGTTCCCCATCCCAGCCCCAGGAATGGGAGACTCCCTCTGGAACAGGCGGGGATCAGGAGGGGAGGTGGCACGGAACAAAATGGAGGAGAACGTGCGGAGAAAAGACCAGAAGGCTAGAGGGGAGGGAAAGCGATCTCTCCCACAGCAGTTCCTTGCTCTGGTTTGGAACATCCGTGGAGAAAAGCTCTAGAAGAAGCTCATGGAAAAGTCTAAAAGGGACTTTGTGACACTCTGAGCGTGAGCAGAGATTCAGGGCCTGGGCGGGGGGACAAAGTGGGGCACAGAGGAAGTCCCTCTCCCACAGCTTTGGGAGGCTTCAGGGGCACCTTCTGTGATGGTAACTTCGGTAGCCAAGGAGGTTTCTCCAAATAGCTTTGGGGCAGCAGAATGACTCATGGAAGGCAGAGGAAGCCAGGAAGGTGTAGGCAGATTAGTTACAGGGCATGACGGATGGGAGAACGCACCTTGTCCAGGCTTCTAGGCAGCGAATGCAAATGGCTAAGGGCCCCAGCCGCTGGCTTTGAGCTCTGCCCCCACAGGTGCACCAAAGCCACGCCTCCCGATGACGGTGTGGAGTGGGGAGATAAGACACTACAGCTGCTCCTGGGGGGAGCGCAGCTCCTCCACTGGCTGATGGGACTGTGGCTCAGGAACACTTTGAATCAAACAGATATTTGCACCCCTGTGTCCACAGTGGTCTTGTTCACAATAGCCAGAACGTGGAAATGACCTGAGTGCCCACCGATGGATGAATGGATGAACCAAATGTGGTGTATACACACAATGGAATAGTATTCAGCCACAAAAAAGGAATGAAATTTTGGTATTTGCTGCAAAATATATGAATCCTGGAAACATTATGCTAAGTGAAACAAGCCAGACACAGAAGGCAAATATTGTATGGGAAAAGGCAAATTCATGGAGACAGAAAGTCGAATAAAGGTTACCAGGAGCAGAGAGGAGGGAGGAACGGGAGCTATTGTGTAATGGGCACACCATGTATGTTGGGGATATGAAAAAGTTTTGGGTATAGATCGTGGTGATGACCTCACAACACCGTAAATGTATTTAATGCTACTGAATGCCACTTACAAATGGTCAAAATGAGTATTATATGTAGTTTACCACAATAAAAAATAGCAAAAATGGGACTATACGATTAAAAAAGCTTTTCTTCTGGGGGGTGGGTTGTTTTGGGTTTTAGGGTTTTTTTGTTTTTTTCCTTTCACTCAAGCATTTCCTGACAAGCTCTGCTAGACTTGCCTGGACTACACAGCCATCTGGGGTGGGCCCCCTCCCGATTCCCTTCCACACAGGCCATTCCCCTGGAGCCATCTCTGCACGCCCCACCTCATCCTAGCATCAGCTTATCGAAGGTCCAGGATTCACACCCAGCGTGAGTGCAGCTCATCCACCGGTGCAAGGGCACAGGCAAGGCCCCTCCCTGGGCACTTCCAGAAGAATCACCAGGACAGACGGAGCCACGGCAGGCTCACACACTTCCAAAAGCTTTTTATTGAATTCAATTTTCCAAAAGCACAGATACTTGAGACAATTTTTGCAAGGACCCTGAATTTTTACTTGGCTGTTTTTGGCTACAGTAAAAACACACTCACACACACCAGAGAGGCCCTGCTCGCTGTAAGGTCTCTGACGGATGGACTGTTAGAAAAGGCACTGACCGGGGACAGGGGTGGGGTCTCTCCTTCAGGCTGCCAGTTCAGCGATGGCCCTGTCCAAGGGGTCCACAGACCAGTAGTTGTCATCCCAGCCGAGGAACCAGCCCATGAAGGAGGGAGGCTCAAAGCCTTGCTTCACGATGGTGATGGGGGTCCGCCTGTCGCGATTAGCTGGGTCCGTCTCGATATAACGCTTAGCTGTAGATACACACGTGCAGGAAAAGGAAACCCCAGAAATCCTTAGTGACTCCTTCACCAGGGAGAGGTGCTTCGGGGCAGGAGCTGCCTAGGCTTCTGGTCTTACTGTCTCCAATGCCCAGTCGCCGCACTAGACACCACCATCTCCTAAGGGCAATGACCCCACATGGCTCTTCCACCACCCTGCCCGCGAACCCCAGAAGGGACAGGGGTCACAGTTCAACTCCCTGCTTCACAAAGTTTATATCATTTCTCACTCCTGCTCTCCCCTACTGGGAGATAGTAAAGAACCAGCTTTAGAGTTCCAGCTCCCAAATCAGATCTGGTCAGCTACCATGGCTCTGGTCAGGAACTCCCCAGACCCATGCGGGAAGCTGCTCCCACCACACCACAGGACACAGACCCACAGGCACGCTCGGTCCTCACCAGAGCTCAACGCTTCTGTCTTCTCCTCTTCTTGAGAATCCTTTCCAACCCAGACAAAGACCTGGAGTGAGATGTGAAATGAGACGGGTAGGAAGGTCCCGGCCACAGGGAGGGTCCGGGTGCTGGATGTGGGACACAGCCCACAGCTGACAGAGCCCAGACACCAGGACTGGAAGGATTTGG